GGAGGGGCCTTAGAACACAGGATGTCAGAGCTGGGAGGGGCCTTAGAACACAAGATGTCAGAGCTGGGAGGGGACTTAGAACACAGTGTCAGAGCTGGGGGGGCCTTAGAACACAGGATGTCAGGGCTGGGAGGGCCCTTAGAACACTGGATGTCAGAGGTGGGAGGGCCTTAGAACACAGGATGCCAGAGCTGGGAGGGGCCTTAGAACACAGGATGTCAGAGCTGGGAGGGGCCTTAGAACACTGAATGTCAGGGCTGGGAGGGGCCTTAGAACACAGCTGGGAGGGCCCTTAGAATACAGAATATCAGAGCTGGGAGAACCTTACAACAGAGAATGTTGGAGCTGGGAGAGACTTTGAAGATACAATGTTACAGCTAAGCGGGACCTGAGGACACAGAATGTTAGAGCTGGAAGAAATCCTAGCACAGAAAACAGGATGGGGCTTGAAAACATAAAATAACAAAGTTGGAAGGGGCCTTAGAAGAGAGGATGTCAGAGCTAGAAGGGTCCTTAGGACACAGAAGGTCAGAGGTGGGAGGAGCTTTAAAACCTGATGTCAGAACTGGGAGGACCCTTAGCATAGAGAATGTCAGAGCTGGGATGGGCCTTGGAACACAATGTTAGAGCCTACAGAAACTTCAGGACATAAAATGTTCAAACCAGAGACCTTCGAGCTAGGAGAGCCCTTAGAAAACAGATAGTCAGAGCTGGACAGGACCTTAGCATTTTATAAATGTGGAAATTGAGGCATAGAGAATGGAAATGTCTTGCCCAAGGTCACTGAAACAGGAACACTGAGCTGGAAGGAATACCCGGTGCCCAGCTGCCTCCCCTCAAAGGCCCAGACTGAGGGACAGCCTCATGAAGTTGACTCACCAGTAGGTCAGGGTACAGCAGTAGAGGGCTGCGGGTTGACTCAGGTCAGCTCAGGACCAATGGTGATGCTACTGTTGGTGACACGGGGCCCATACCAGCCTGCCCAGTAGTGTGTGTCCACTCCTCCATGCTGAAACCAGATATAGCGAACACCAGGTGGGTAGTTGGAGAATGTGTGGGAGACCTAGAAGAAGGGAAGAGGAGGAGGGCTGAGGGAGAGGGTCTATTCAACCCCTGCCCAAGGAAACCAACCCAGGGGAGCAGGGAACCAGGGGACAGAGGCTATACTTAGCATCCTATGAGTCCCTTGTGAAGCCATTCTACAATCTATGTGATTTATTAGGATAGAGAGTTGGGAAGGTGCTTGGAGATCATCTTGTCCAGGGGTTCCCAGTCTGTGGGCCCTGAGGCCCCGAGTCTCCAGGTTATTTTCTGAGAAATGAATATTCTGCCAATTAATGGCTATCAAATGTACATCTACCATCAAAGGAATTGGCTGCAAAACATTTTGGTGATAGGAAGAGGCCTTTACACTCACAAAAAGGGCTGGGAACCATTGGTGTAGTCCAGCAGTCTCAAAAGATGTGCCAAGAATTACATTGAATTTATACTTGGAATAATAGGCAAGCTAGGGGTGCAATGGAAAATGTTGAGCCTGGCATCAGGAAGACCTGAGTTCAAATCCAGCCTCAGACACTTACTAGCTATGTGACCTTGGGCAAGTCATCTAACTTCTATCTGCCTCAGTTCCCTCATTTGTAAAAATGGGAATAATAATAGCATCTATATCCCAGGATTTCTGTGACAATGAGATGAGATCCTATTTACAAAGCTCTTTCCAAATCTTTAAGTGCTGTAGAAATGCTGGCTATTATTATTATTTGTACATGAGAGTCTGCTGACTTTTCTGTGCTGTTGTCATCTGTCCAGTGTGCCTCAGTTCTTCATACCAAAGAATAACACTGTGCCACGTGTGGAAAAAAAAAATTGAAAACCAATGGTCTTGTTTAACCCTCTTACTATGGATGAGGAAACTGAGGCCCAGAAAGAAGGAGATGTGAATTTGTTCCCAATTGCATGGGCAGTAAAGTCCTCAACTTTCCCCCTTAAAAGCCACACAGCCCACTTAAAGTACCTCCAAAGTACTTAGCACGTACTATTGTGTTACTACTGCCTTATCCCTTAGTAGACTGTAAGATCAAAGAAGGCAGGAAATAGATGTCATCTCTAGTCTTTCCTTAACTCCCAACGCAGCAACTAGCCCAGGAGGTGTTGTTAATTATATTGTAGGTGGAAGAGCTGAGAATTGCCGTCATCTGACTCCATGTCAATCATTCCACCAAGCCCCTTGCCTCCAGTCTCATGCTCCTGTGGTCAGGCTATGGAAGAAGGGATCTGGGCTGGGTGGTTTCCATGGCACCATGGTCTTAGACACTGGGAAATCCCCTCCAAGTGAGAGGCCATTCTGTATCCCACCCTTTCCCCCTCCTCACCTCTCTCCACTTGGCATCACTCCACTGCTGGATGGCAACAGGATCTGGTTGGAAGGTGCCCAGAGGCACATGCCCTGAAGACAGGAGCTGTACACAGACCTGATACTTGCAGCCACAGTCTTGTCTGGCAGCAAACCTGGGGTGGTGTGAGGAAGAGGGGGGTGTGTGTGGTGGAAATCAGGAACTGACTACCAAGAGGGAAGACACTGAAGGGGACCACGTGCAAATGCGAGATGGTGAGGAGTGGAATATTGAATTCAGAGACCAGTAGCGCCCTCAACAGAAGCAAGAAGAATGGTTTAGGGGAAAGTCTGATGAGTTCTGGTTTGGACAAGATGACGCATCTGCATAGAGATGTATAACCGCTTATGTACTTCTTTGGGGTAGTTTGGTCATTGGGAACTTTTTTAAAAAAAAATTGTGTAAAGCCTGTCTTTGTACCTTCCACTCATGGCTCATAGTTCTTCCCCTGAAGCCAAGCAGAATAAATGTCATCCCCCTACCAGTAGCAGGCAGGGATCTCCACCCTGGCTGTGAGGGACTGTGATATATACATGTGTATACCTGCCACCCAACCCCATGCCTATAAATATTTGTTGAATGAATTACTGAATGAGAAGAATAGAAACCAAAGGAGATCCCTGGGGGTATTCTCATTTTCTTCCTGCCCATATCCACACTGATTCCCTCCTATTCTTTTGCCCACTCCTAGTGAGATCAGGGCAGGACAATCACTCAACTCCCAGAACAAACTCAAGGGAGTGGGCCACCTTCCTACTACCACTACTCACCAATCCTTGACCACAATGTCTGGCCTGGTCCGGTCCATTAGCTCTTCCCAATATCCTTCAGCTTTCAGGTCCACCAATTGAGACTTGAGGCAGGTGCTGGGGGGAATGTATAGGGGGAGGGACCCCAGGGGAGATGTTCACCTCATGGTCACACTGAGGTGGGGTGTCTCAGGCCTTCCATACATCCTTACCCTGTCCCTAGTCCCCAGCCCCTAGGCAGCCTGGTCACCATGAGGGATCCTGGGTTCAAATCAGTCATTCCATGGCCCCCAGCCTGTGGACTTCTTTTGGGTCAGTCATCTGTGACAGGCAGGGCAGGAGGATGGGGAGGCCCCTCCCCCACAAAGCTCACCGGTTCCCTTTCCACCATCCACCAATGGCCCCTTTCCCTGGGGCCAAGACTCTCTCCCCACCCCCACCAAACCCAATTCTTACTAATAAGATGTGACAAAGTATTTCTTGACGTGAGAGTTGGGAAACACCCTCCCGTGGTCCCCCGGCAAGTCTTCCACTTTCCACTCATCTCCTCCGTTCACATCCAGGGTCCAAAACTCAAAGCCTTCTATCGGGGAGCAGAGCAAAGATTAGAGGGGCAGCCTCCTTCAGGGCTGTGCTGAGGTTGTCACCTCTGTCACCAACAATTCTCTCACTGAGGCCCAGGGGTGGGGGTGGATGCTTGTTGATGAAATAGGAGGACAGACTTAAAGCTGGGGGAGCATCTAGTCCAACCCCCTGATTTACATAAGAGGAAGCCGAGGCTGGGAGAGGGCAAAAGTCACATAATAGAACCAAGATTCCCACTCGGCTCCTCTGGTTCCACGCTCTTTCCCACTGAACCACTGATCTGGGCTCGTACATTGCTGTCCTCCCACTTAGGAGCTCTGAGGAACTCACTCCTTTACAGCCAGGTTCTGTCTTCCTCCCCTACCTTCCCACAGTGACAGTGACATTGGAGGTGGGAGGTGGCAATGGGAGATGATAGCTCTGAATGCACGCTCAGCTTGTCTGTGCTCGTGAGTCACTCTTATTTTTGAAAGGAAGGAGCTGTGAGGAGCTGGTTGGGACCTCTCTCTGAGCCTTCCCTCACCTACTGGGTAATGCTTGATGACTTCTGCAAGGGATACCATGTGGCGTACCTCATGCCTTGAGTAGAATGTAGATCACAGAAAAGTGCCTGGCAACAATGTTTATGATATAAGCCAGACAGTCTCAAGCTATGTGTCCACAGTGTGCAGCACATAGTAGAGAGTCACAGCGAGCCATGAACAGATTGCATTGTACGCTATGGAGGACTGGCGCCATTCATGACAACTGTAGGTGGCTACACTGTATCTCCAGAGTGATGTACAGTATTGGTGTCTACATTGTCCAGTTAGTGCCCTGTACTTTATGAATATACATGAGTATGGACTGTGGGTCTAGGAACACTCCGTGCTGAGGGGCTCCACCTTTGTCTCTTTACCCCCAGCTGGGACTGGAGCCTGGATAGTGCCAACAGCTTGGGGGGAGGGGGAAGTAGGAAGGGAGAGAGAGAGAGAGTACTGGACTGAGGCTGGGGGAGGGTAGGCAGCTCTCTCTGGGGAAAGACAGAAATAAAAGACTCTACTTGAAAAATATGTGTATATTATATAAAATATATGTATAAATGTATACATACATATATACATACACATGCATATATGCATATCTATATCTATATATACACATAACAGTCACATACCCTATAAGTGTCTATACTAGGAAGGGCAGCTAGGTGGCTCAGTGGATAGAGCACTGGGCCTGCGGGAAGACTCTTTTTTCTGAGTTTAAATCTGTTCTCAGATACTTCCTAGCTGTGTGACCTTGGGCAAGTCACTTAACCTTCTTTGCCTCAGTTTCCTCATCTGTAAAATGAGCTAGAGAAGGAAATGGCAAACCACTCCAGTATCTTTGCCAAGAAAATGCCGAATGGGGTCCTGAAGAATCAGACACAACTGAAACGGCTCAACAATAACAAAATAATGCATATAGCATTTTAAGATTTATAGAGTTCACTGTGCGATGACTGACTTTGATAGACTTGGCTCTTCTCAGCAATGCAGGGATCTAAGACAACTCCACAAGACTCATGATGGAAAATGCTGTCCACATCCAGAGAAAGAACCATGGAGTATGAATGCAGTTTTGTTTTATTGCTTCATTCTCGTGGTTCCTCTCCTTAGTTCTAATTGTTCTTTACATCATGACTAGTGGGAAAATATGCTTAATATGAATGTCTAAGTGGAGCCTATATCAGATTGCACACCATCTTGGGGGGCAGGAGAGGGAGCAGGAGAAAATTTAAAACTCAAAATCTTGTGGAAGTGAATGTTGAAAACTAAAAATAAATAAATTAATTATTAAAAAAAGATTTACAAAGTTCTTTACAAATATTATCTCATTTGAATCTTACAACAACCCCGGGGGGGTGGGGCAGGATGGTGATAAGGGTGATTATTATCCCTGGTTTATAGATGACGAAACTGAAGTAGACAGAAGGTTAAGTTGACTTGCCCAGGGTAACACAGCTAGTAAGTATTTGAGGCCAAATTTGAACTCCTATCTCCTTCCTATTTTATATACTCCTGGTATAGACAACATTTAGCACATACCAAATATATCACAGATGCCTATACTATACAGCCAATGTCATGTACCCTACTAATACTATAAGTATCTATGTTACCTACTGGTGTCTTGAATAGTGCAAGTGTAGACAGTATGCAACCTGTGCCATAGATATGGTTCTCTGTCCTATACATGGGTGTCATGCATACTATAAGTATCTATGTCATTCAGTTGTCTTGTGTACTATACAGATATAGGCACTATACAGTCTATATCATGCATTTCCTGGGTATCAACATTGTATACTCTGGGTTATGCATACTCTAAGTGTCTACACTGACCAGTTGGTATCATGTTCACTTAATGCATCTATGCCATGTAAACAGAGACACAGCTTGGTGCAGCTGAATGCCCACAGGACTTGGAGTTAGGAGAGACTAGGTAGGGTTCCAGTCCTGCACTTCTTAGTTTTCTGATCATGGGCAAATCACTTAACTTCCTTAAGTCTCAGTTTTCTTAGTTGCAAAATGCTGGATTATATGAACATTTACCTTGAAGGGTTGTTGTGAGGAAACATATGGAAAGGGCTTTGTAAACCTTAAAGTGAGATACATATATGTACATAATGTTGTTCAGTTGTTTTCAGTCATGTCTGACTCTTTGTGACCCCATTTGGGGTTTTCTCGGCAGAGATACTGAAGCGGTTTGCCATTTCCTTCTCCAGCTCATTTTATAGATGAGGCAATTGAGGCAAACAGGGTGAAGTGACTTGGCCAGGGTCACACAGCTATTAAGTGTCTGAAGCCAGATTTAAACTCAGAGTCTTCCTGACTCCAGGCCTGGCAGTCTATTCAACTCACCGCCTAGCTTCCCCTCTGTATATATATTTGCATATAAATGTCAGCTAGTATTATATATGCCATGCTTGTCTATACTGTACAGTACATATTGTGTACACCATAGCTACTCATTCTGTATCATCAGAGTCACATACACTATGACATTTACAATGGGCTATTGTAGTCACGTATACTATAAGTGTCTACACTGGATCTTGACATGGTAAAGTGACTATACTGTCCATTGTAGGGGTACATAGTATATTGATTTTCTGTATGGCATACTACAGGTATCTATGCTGTGTACATTGTACTGTGAGCATAATGTATATTGTAGCTATCTTGTGCAGTTGAGATATAAGCTCTAGATGGCTACACCGTATGGCTACTGTGACGCATACTACTGATGTCTACACTGTAGCGTCTCCATGGACAGACTCTGTTATAGTACCAAGGGTAAGTGCACCCACCTTCAGCACAGGGATTTCGGATTAGGTTCCTCTGGAGGCTGCAGAGGAAGTAGAAAATCTTCCAGTCAGATACAGGCTGGCCCCACGTCTTGGGAATGAAGCCCTCACGCTGGCACTTCAGCTTCCACAGGGACACCAGGTCGATGAGGTCTCGCCACAGGCTGCAGACTGGCCGACAATGCAGCAGGAGCTCCCGGGCTGGCACCATGGAGAACAGCTCCAGAAGAATATTATTGGGTAAGTCATTGATGGAAGCCATAGTACCAACAGTCAGGATGGGCTGGGGATCTGCAAACACCAGACACAGGTCTGTGAGGGCAAGCGTCTATAATGGCCACGATCTGTATTGGGGACACACAAAAATAGTGGAAACATGCCTGTAAAAGGCAGTGTCTATACGGACCACGGCCCTAGTAAGTGAACGTATACAGCACAAATACCTTCACAGAGGGCTGGATTCTGCATTTCCCTGGGCCCAGGTGCTGGGAAACACACACACACAGAGGCACATACACATGTCTATGAGGAGTGTTGTTTTCAGGCACCATAGCCACAGTGCTAAGGATGGGTTAGGGACAAAAGCACAGCCACCCCCTCAGAACTTTCATTTCCTGTGAGTTCAATTGTTATGTCTGTGATTCCCTGATCTGTCTCTATCTATCTATCTATCTATCTATCTATCTATCTATCTATCTATCTATCTATCTATCTATCTATCTATCTATCTATCTATCTATCTATCCTCTTTCCTGAGCTATAGTCTCACATCACCAAGCAACTGCCTCTTCCAAACTGAATGACATTGTGTCATTTCAAACTCAACATACTGAAAACAGAACTCATTATCTCTCCTTCCAAATCCACTCTTCTTTTAAAATCTACCCTTTTAATCACCTAGGTTCCCAATCTTCAAGCTGCCATTGCTGTTCCTCACACACAAAACTCCATATCTCCTCTCTGCCTTTGCACAGGCTGTCCCTCATGCCTGGAATGTTTTCCTTCCTTTCCTCTTTGGAATCTTTTACTTTCAGCTCAAGCAACATTTGCGGGTTCTTAACCTTCCTTTTTATGCCATGGATCTCTTCGGCAGTCTGGTTAATCAGTGAGTGGGTCAATAAGCATTTATTAAGTGTCTACTATGTGCCTGGCAGTGTGCTAAACATTGGTGATATAAAAAAGAAGAAAAGGACAATCCCTGCCCACAAGGAGCTCACAATCTAATGGAGAAGAAAACAAGCAAATATGTAGAAAGCCTATGGTTGTTAATAATGCTAAATTGATAAAATAAAATAAGGATTAGCAAAGGAAACCAATTATATTACATAGTATAATTATCGGCATTAAAAAACAAAGGCTAAGTTTACAGACTCCAGAATCCCTTCTTTACATAAAGCCTTTCCTGACCCCACCCCCAGCTACCTCTCCCTCAAATTATCTAGTATCTTTTTAGCATATACTTATATATGTATGTGTTGTCCCCCTTGGCTAGATTGTAAACCTCCAGAAGGCAGGGACTGTTTCATTTTTGTCTTTTGTCTCAGTGCTTGGCGCTTAAATGCTCCTTGATTGATTGGCCCTTCAGAGTGGCGTCTTCCCATTGACAGTGGGTATGGGCTGGAAAAGACCTTCACGCTCTAATCCAACTCCCTCATTTTACTGATAAGGAAACTGAGACCCAGGGAGGCGCTGTGACCTTCCCACAATCGTCCGCATCACAGTAAATGGCAAAGCGGCGGCCCAGGCTCACGCCCCAATTCCATTCAATTTAAATTTCATTAAAATGCATAGCATCGTTGCGAAGAATCAGATTAGGAATTTAAAGTGACCTTTCGACATTCATATACATTTGACAGCCAAATATATACATTCTGGGGATTATTTGTATTGTGGATCATTTGTGTCCCGGGTTCCATTTCGTATCAGGGATAATCTACAGTTAAAAGTAATCGTGTGTGCGCGTGTGTGCTTGCGCTCGTGTTCGTGTGTGGGCATCTGTTGCTCGAGTACTTTCGTGAATGGCAGCCGGTTAATTGCAGTGAGATCTTGGGTAAGCTCTTGCGCCTCTGCGGACCTCAGTTTCCTCGGCTGTCAAACCAGCGGACTGGGTTGCCTTGGCTCCCTGTCCTGTCCGCCTCTCGCCCTCCCTGTCCTCCGCAGTTCCATCTCCCGCTCCCTGTGGGCCCAGCTCCCTTGGCTTCTGCCAGTTCAGCCTGGAAAATTACTGTCGCTGCCGCGGCCGCGCGCCCCCACCCGGCCTGCAGTGCGGCACTGCCCTTGGGGGACAAGGACCCTGGCGCACTAGCTCCCAGCTCCTGCCTCGGCCCCTCCGCACGGCCCCGGGCCACAGCGAGCCCGCGTCCCCTCCCTCTTTGGATGACTCTCTCCCGGCTCCCCATCGTACCGCCCCTGCCCCCCGCAGTGACCTCGACAACGCCGTTTGGAGACCCCCAGCATCCTGCGCGGTGGGGACCCCCTCCCAGCTCCAGGCGCGGCGGGCCGCTCAGCCGGCGGAGTGAGCGCTGGTCTGGGCTGAGGCCCCGCCCCTCGGCCCTGCAAAGTCCCACCTCCTTTCCCCCTACCCCCCAACCCCAGGCTGCCGGGACCGCCCACTCCCAGGATCCCAGAATCTGAGTAGTGTTAGAGCTGGGGAGAATCTTAGAACAGAGGATGTCAGAGCTACAGGGCCCTCAGAACAGAATGTTACAGCTTGGAAAGAGCTTAGAAAATAGAATGTCAGAGATGGAGTATGTATGGGGGGGGGTGGTAGGTTGCGTGCGTGTGTGGGCAGGTGGGTGGCATCTTAGAACATAGAGTCTGAGTTCTGAGGGCCTTTAGAAAATATATCAGAGCTAGAGGTGTGCCTTAGAACATAGATTGTCAGAGCTGGAGGGAACTTTTAGAACAGAGAATGTCAGAATTGGTAGGAATCTTAAAACAGAATATTATAGCTGGAAAGACTCTCACAACCAAGTGGTACAGCTGGGAAAGCTTTTAGCACGTATCAGTGTGTGTGTGTGTGTGTGTGTGTGTGTGTGTGTGTGTATGTGCATGCCTGAGCCTCTGGATGGGTGGCACCTTAAAACAGTCTTTCTGAGCTCTGAAGGCCCTTAGATCATAGAATGTCAGAGTAAAAAGGGTTCCTTAGAACATAGAATGTCAGAGCTGGAGTATGTGTGTGTGGGTTATCACCTTAGAACACAGACTGAGTTCTGAGGGTCCTTAACATAGAGTGTCAGAATTGGAGGGAGGAAGGAGGTGCTTCTTAGAACGAAAGCATCAATCTCAAATAGCAATGGAGGCCAATACATAAGTATCCCCTGTTTGTGGCATGTTGACTTAGTTTTAAAATTTCATGTTATTTTTGTCTTATTGCAGTTTTTGGTTAAATATTTCTCAATTACATTTTAATCTGATTCAGCCTTCTCTCTGGAGTGTTGCAGCCACACACCTCGGCCTCAGAACACAGTATGCTGGAACTGGAAGGGTTCCTTAGAACAAAGAACGTCAGGCCTGGTTAGCACCTGGAATGTCAGAGTTGGGTGGGATCATAGAATATTGATTCAGACACTCAGAGCTGGGAAGACTCTTAAGAAAACAGGCTGTCAGGGGAGTGTGTGTGTGTGTGTGTGTGTGTAATTTTTCTACACAAATACAGGAATTAAGAGGGACCTTAGATGTGATTGTCTAGTACAAGTCCCTTATTTGAAAGAGGAGGAGAGCTTGGAGTCGAGAAGTCACTTCTCTGTCACTTCTGCCTCAAGTCACATCAGCAGTTACTGGCAGAGCTAGGATTGGTATCCAGACCTCCTCCTTCCCCTCAGGCCCCTCTCCCCATCCACTTGGGTTCCCATTGCGCTCTGGGAAATCCAATTATCTGAAGTGTCTAGAGGAGCTAGATACTACCATCACCCTCCTGGGGGAAGAATTATGTAAAAATTTTGCTTTTTAATTTGCTGATTTCCTATACAGCTTCTGCCCCAAATACTAAACCAAGTGGAGACACATTTGGAAGTGAAGGTGACCTTACAACCTGGAATGTCAGGGCTGGAGAGGCCTCAGAACAGAGAAGTCAGAATCAGGAAGGATCTTAGAATGCCAGAGCTGGAAGGGACCTTAGAACAGAGAATGTCAGGATTGGGAAGGGGATCTTAGAATGTGGGGGAGGGGTGTCCTTTGGAACAGAGAATGTCAGAGCCGGGTTGGGGGCTGCGGGTAGTCCTTTAGAGAGTGTTCAGTCCAAGATCCTTGCTTTCCAGAGGAAGAAAATGAGGCACAAAAAGGGTTGAAATGACTTGCTTCAGTTGATACGCAGCAGAGTAGGGCTAGACTCCCATGCCTCCCACTTTCAGGTCAATGCTCTTGCTACTTGGGGTTGCAGCATTCACTCCCCCCCGCCCCACCCCCGGGCCCCTCCACTTCTAGCCTTCCCCCAGACCGTTGGCACTGACTCCTCTACAATCTAGCTTGATCCAGAAGCAGCCCCCTCTCCCTTCTATTCCTCCCTCGGCCTCCCCCCTCCCCCACCTAGGCCAGGATAGTTGGCTGAGTTCAGCAGATGCGGACTTCCATCCTAGACCTCTTTCTGAAAGGGCACCCTCCCCTAGTCCATTCATGCCCCAGGAAAATGATCTCCTGGCCCCCCGGGGACTACAGGCTTCCTGGGTGCCCTTCTACGTGCTACAACGCCAAAGAGCTGACTATGGAGCAGGGAAATGCGCCTCAGTAGAGGCCAGTATTGACCCTCCATTCCCAGCGGAGCCGAGTTGGGCCCAGAGCCAAGGGCAGGGGAGGAGTTCGGCGGGCTAGGGCGGAGAAGCGGTTCCCTTTAAGAAGCGCTGGCCAGCCTAGCCCTCCCGCACCGGCGCTGGAGAACAGAGAGCCGAGCAGAGCTGTGACAGTCTGTGCAGGGCAGAGGAGGGCGGAGCATCTGGTTGCCTAGGACCTGAAGGAGAGGAACATCTGGGGAGGCTCTCCTTAGCTCCTCGTCCCCTGATAGCTGCGTCCCCTGCCCCAGGAAGACATGGAAGAATACACAGAACCAGGTAGAGAGAGGGAGAAGAGACCGGGCTGGAGGCGGAGAGGGCCAATTAACTCTTGGCCCGGGGAAGGCTTTGCAGGGCAGGGAAGTCGCCAGATCTCCGGGGACCCCCTCCGCACAACGGAGTGGGCGGTGAGGAAGGGGAGGCGGGGCACAGGAGAAGGCAGCAAAGTGATTTCCCATTTCCAGGAAAAGTGGGTGAAGGTGGCTGTCTGGAGAGGGGGTTAGCACATTTGGGTTTTTGTATGATATCTGCCAAATTTACGCACCCCTGGCCTCAGTTTCCCCATCCGCGTGGGCCACAGAACGAATTTCCCTCTGGCGCTCTTCCATCAACTGCTTGTGGGCCTCTCTAGAGGAGCCCATGTCAACGGGGTCTGACGTAGTACTCTAGGCTTGTGCGCCTGTCTTAGTTTGAGGAGGAGGGGTGCATTTGTGGGAGAAGCTGAGTCAGGTGTGTGAGGGAGAAGTACATTATTTAATTTTCAGTCTGGTTCAGTATCTTCTTGTCTCGATCTGTGACCCATAATCTCTTTCTCTATAGCATCTCAAGGAGTGATACCTCTTCTCTTCCCTCTCCTTCTTCCTTCTATTCCCGTGGAAGCCTTTCCTCCTATCCCCTTTCCTCCTTTGCCTTCCCTTTCCTGGCCCTCCCCTCCCTTCTCCTCTATCTGATACCTGTCTTGCTTCCCTCTACTTCACTGGCACTATCATCTCTCAGTGGTGTCAGGCTGGCCAGCAAGACAGCAAGGGCCAAGTTGCATTCAGGTCCCTGGGAAAAGGGGAAACCACCAACTACTATCCATGGTAGGGGGTTGGCCAAGAGTGTGGACAGAGAGGCACAACTCTGATTCTGAGAAGCATAAAGCTGTGCTCTTCCTTAGATGGGCTGAGAGGCCATTTGCTGAGTCAGTGTGTACATTTGGGGAGATGGGGGTGTCTCCAACTGGACCTTTGGCCTTGATGGGGAAGGCTAAGACTGGTGCTGGATACCAGGGGAGACTAACTCAAGATTAATTTTATCCCCTGCTCATTTCCCACCCATGCCCAAACTCCTTCAGGGCAGGGGCTGTTTTATTTGTCTTTTTATCTCCAGCACAATGCCTGACACACAGTAAGTCCTTAATAAATCCTTGTTGATTGATTAATGTCCTCTGAGGGAATCTTGTCCAGGTGGATTTGAACCTGTGTGCCGGGGACCCCTAAATTCCCATCCTACTTAAATCAGGTCTAATAATTTAAATCCACCCACTCTTGAATAGCTTGATATTTAATTATTATATATTATTATATATTTATTATGTAATCAATTATTACATTAATTATTAAAACACTAATTAATTATTATATAATTATTAATAGTTTTATACTTGGCTCATAGAATTAACCTCATCTAGTCCAACACCCTCATTTTATAGATGAGGAAACTGAGTCTTAGAGACATGGAGTGATTTGCCCAGGGTTACACAGGTAGTGAATAGCAGAACTGGGGCTTGACCCCAAGTTTTCTGATCCCAAATCCAGCATTCTTTCCATGGTGCCATACTGTCTCTCCACTTTACCCTCTGCATGGCCCCAGAATGAAGGACCTGTTGTTCCCAGGGTCCACTAATTCCCTGGTCTCAGGGGCCAAATCTAGGTGAGTGAGTCAGCTCCTGTGGCAGCTTCCAGGAGCCAGATAACTTTCCAACCAGCAACAATATAGGTAGTTGTGTGTGGAGGAGATAGGGGGGTAAGGAGGTAATCAGATCCTGAGTTCAAAGCGCAGGGCCAGGGGCCAGGAGAGTTGACTGGAGTAGGTTGTGCCTTCCTGAGAGCATCAAGTGTCCAGCCAGGGCCTGAGCTGGACCCTGAAGACAAAGGAGTGGTTAGGACACCTGGGTCCTGGTCCCAAGAGAATGTCCTTATCTACAGGGTAGAAAGCCTCAGTGGTCCGGGCTTTTAATTTCGGTGACCTAGGGAAAGTCACCAAATCATTCTGGGGCTCAGCTTCTCTTTACTTCTTCTTCTTTTAAAAGTTCTATTTATGCCCTTTTTCTTTAATTTTTAAAATAGATACTTTTTGTTTTTACATTGCATTAATTTCCCAAGATATCCTCCCCTTCTCTGAGAGTTATCCTTTAAAAAAGGATAAAAATAAAAGAAGGGGAGGGGAAAGTAGTTTAGCAAAACTAACTGACATTGATCAATCCCATCTGAAGGTACATGCTGTTTCACACTCATAGTCCCCCACCTCTGTACAAACACCAGGAAGGTATACTCTTCAGGGCCAAACTTGGCTATCATAATCACATGGCATTCAATGCCTTTTTGTTTTATATCAAAATAATTTTTGGATTCTCTACCCACCCCCACCTTTGTGACAAAGAAAAACAGTGATGCAGTGACCAAATCTGATAGTGTTCACAACAATGTACCCCATCTGGA